TCTCCATGTTATAATTGAGAAAATCTTAGGCGCGCAGTAAAAGCATGTTGCCGTGGCTCCCAAAGACCATCCAGGGCGTTAAAGCAGTCCGTGAGGGATGTGCTTTCGTACAAACGCAGCGCATCACAATGCCGTTGATCTTCTGCACCGAGATGTCTCAGTAGTTTGATAAATTGGGTTTCACTAAGTGCTATGGGGGTGTATACTTATGAAAAGTTCAAGGTAGTCACAGTAGGTTCGGTTCCAACGATTCCAAACTGCTAAGGATGGTTTGGGCGACATGTTCTTCCAAAAGAGATCAGGCGAGGGTACGTGGCTCATGGTAATTAATTCCGAGTTAAACCTTCATCACCAAATGTCGCAGTTTAGCAGTTGCGGACCTAACGCACAGTGGCTGTCTCTTAGCCGAACTATCACAAAACGAAACACGTCAGGCAAATGGAAGGCAACACTGTATTATGACAGGCATGCTGTACAACGCATTGATCCACTATTCTACACCACGCCGATCGATAACTGGGTGAGCGTCTTACTGACACACGCCAGCGCATGCAGGCAACGAATTAAATGGGCTCAGTACATTGGCCGTGAGGATGCCATAGCTTGTAAAAGCAAGACGAACAAGTGTAGATCCCGTGGTTGACGACAAAATTCTGCTGAGAATCAGTGAAAAACCAAGGATGCACAAGTGCGCGATTAGCACGCACGCAAGTTCATCTAACTACCGCTAAACTGCAATATGCCCCGATGATGCTTAGTCAAACAGTCACAAATCGGGGATTTTATTTTTACTTGCGAAAATAATCCCAGAAAAAACATCGTAAGCAAAACACAGTTTAGGAGAACAGGCTTGTTTTTCGTGGTTCGCATCTCAATTCCAAAATGTGCAAAACTAGAAAGACAGGACACCGGCGACTGAGAAGAGCATGACAACACTTTTACTCCCCTTGAGGCATGATAATATCATAGACTCTGATACTTTAAATGCGCCAGACCTAGTGGAACACTAATCCAGAGGCTTTATGACCTACCTAAGATCCATTAGGAAGGTGTACCGCTGAGACCGGTACTAGACATGTGCAGCTCTCCATTTTATCTGACTACTAATTGGCTTGTGAAACGCTTCGAGTTGGTCAGGAAACCATAGCCAGGTATAGCTTTCTGGATGGTTTCGAACTTATTGATTCAGTACAACATCTCGAGCTAGCTGGACGGAATATGTTCTCCTTAGTTGTGGTGTCACTTTTCAGCAACGTTCCGTTAGAAGAGACCATTGACTATCTCTACGACTTTATGCAAGTGCACGGCGTCAACATCAGTATTCCAAATGACCCTTTGAGGCAACTTATACTAGCGTTCATTAAGAACATTCAGTTCCAGATTTGTAGACCAATAGACGGGGTAACTAAGGGTTCACCATTAGCGCCGCTGCTCGCCAATGTCTTCATGAGTACGTTGGAGAACACCAATTTAAACGAATGTTTCAACAATCTGGTTTGCTACGACCGATACCTTGATAACGTATTTTGTGTTGCGGATAGCCTGGTATGCATTGAGGATCTGCTAGTCCACTTCAACATTGCACCCACAACATAGTATTCACCATAGAACTTGAAAGTAAGAACTTCTTATCATTCTTAAATGTCCACATCACCAGGACATCGGACGAGACAGTACAGAGGAGAGTACACAGGAAGACAACCTGGAGCGGCCAGTATATCCATTTCACCAGTTTCGTTCTAATAAGTCAAACAGGAAACATCGTCCGTGGTCTAACGGAATCAGTAGGAAGAATACGCATGGAAGACATGCTCTCGGATGAGTAGAGTTTCCTACGAAGTGTTCTCGAACAAGGTGGTTACCCGGGCAGATTCATTCGGAGGCATATGGAGACACGAACAGCAAAATTCCAACCACCGTGGAAAAGCGGCTAATCTACTTATCACAGCCTTCCAAGGGTGATGTGATAGCGGAACGAACTACTCGAAGGCTCTGCCATGCCATCGCGAAAAAATTTACTTTTCAGTTGACCTTCGTGTCAGTTTCACTTCTACGCCAGTCGTGAGCCAACATATCAAGGACAGGATATCGAGGTCAAATATTTCTTCAGTGTGTACCACTTTTCTTGCTCGTATCGAGCAACTCATATTGGAAAGACGACCAGGCGACTGTCAGAGAGTCCGAGAGCCTTGCCCGGTGTGGCGCTACACAGGTGTTAGCAAGACAGTAGCTAGCGCAAGGCTGGACCGCTTTGTCGACTCAAATCACCAAGTCAACGTGCGAGAGGCCTTCCAGACTAGCTACCGGATATCGGGACGCCACACGCGAGCCCTACGATGTCGTCTATGAGCGACAGCGGAGGCGATAGCTATTCGGTTCCACAACCCCAATTTATTTGCTCAACACAAGTGCGTACAGCCTCTTCATCTACCATGGTCTCAATCCACCGCATGGAACAACACCGTGCTTAACCGTTACACTAATGTTGCCCTAACCAGTGCCGTCACTTAATCTCACTGACCGGTCAATTCACTTCATTGATCCATCGTATTTAAATATCCTGTTACTTATGAGTAGAAGGATTTTGGCAAGTATTTTTGTTCGTCGCAATCAGCCGACAATTCAGATAAGTCAACTACCTATCCGGAAAAGCACCAACAACGCAGTGTCCTAACCACTAGTGGTTAGGACATTGCGTTGTTGGTGCTTTTCCGCGTAGGTAGTTGACGTATCTGAATTGTCGGATGAACATATCCTGTGTTAGTTTTATTCCTATTTCCATGGTCTGCTGGCCTGATGCGAACCAGCGAAAACAAGCTTGTTCGTCTAACTGTCTTGCTTCTGATTTCATTTTTCAATTCACGCGTCTTGGCACATCAAACGTAGTAAACACTCTAGTCACAATGTACAGAATGGCTAAATAAGGTCAAATCACTTTCTAAGGACGAACTAGGTTACCGCCTAATTAGAGTCCTGTTTGTTGTGCCTGTAAGCTAACCTGCACTCCTAGCACTTCGACAGTGAATTTGCTTTCCTCGCCTCTGGAAAGCAAGTGAAGAAAGAATAGGAGCAATCCGTGCACATTTTTGGTCATGGACCAGGAATTATGTGACGATTTTCAACAATGGCATTAGTTTCGGGAAAAGATCCTATCAACACTTGTCCAAGCTTTTTTGACTGCTTATACAGTGTTAGTTTCGATTAAGGCAGCATTAAGTTTGTTCCAACTGTGAACTATAAGATATTAGTGAAGAATTTAGCCCCAATTACCAGCATGGACCCCCTGATTCTTAGATTTTTCAAGCCTCCGCAGGCAGTTGTATGGAGCTAGTTCGAACAGACCAAAACGCTGGGTTCCACTGTGTTACTTCATTATTTTAAACATTACTACCAAGCTGCCTGTAAACATGCGAGAAGCCAGGAAAAACTCTTATCCGCCGTAAGGCGTCCATTCTATAACCGTTCCCGCTGATCCTAAGTCATCTAGGTTTTTAGGCATTCTCAAAACGAGATCAATTGCTTCCGATTTGGCGAGGTCAATTGCTTCGGATTTCGCGAGATCAATTGCTTCCGATTTCCTATTTTTCCTTGATGATATCGAGATATAGCGAAGGATCAGAGGACCGGACGATCACTAACGGCTCCAATGCGATGTTAAGACGGTGTCTAACTGGTTCAAAACGCCCTACTATTCAATGTAGACAAATGTCGCGTTGTACAATTACGCCATAGACATAACTACACTTATTTACTTGGGACAAACGGATTGCAGACCAACTCCCAGGAGCGTGCCCTTGGTGTGCTCGTACAGAACGACATCAACTGTTTAAAACAGGCTGAGGTAACTGCGAAAAGAGGCAATCAGCACGTCGGTATGCTGCGAAGAGCATTCGGGAGATTTGACCCATCAATCTTCCCAATGATGCACAATTCCTACGTGTGCCCGCATGTTGAATACGCTATCCAAGATTGGCAACCTTGGTTGAAGCGCGACCTAGAAGCGTTAAAGGCACCACAATGAGGAGCAACAAAGAATGTAAAGGACCTGCACTATCACTCTTACCACCGAAGGTTGAAGTTACTGGGAATTTTCAGTGGACGCTATCGAAGGCTGAGTGGTAATCTCATATTAGCGTATCAGATAGTGAGTGACCCCAACCACGTATGCCGTCATTTTCTGAAACTTAGTCACAACTCGCAGCTCAGAGGTAACTGCTTAAAATTGAAGGAACAATATAGCCGTCCAGAGTGTTGACGGAATTACTTTTCCCTTCGGGTTTGCCAACCCTTAGACGCACTCCCACACTTAGTTGTATCCTCACCTACCAAAGAGGAGTGTCTGTTGCACTTAGCTCCCAGCATTTCGTTAGCTAAACTCCTTTATTGTGGATTACGCCAAGCATGTTTTTCAACAGGATTTATGTATGAAATGGACCTAAGTAAGCGACCATATTTTACTTTTCTCATGCTTTACATCAACGATCACTGAACGTATACCCTCGATTTTTTAAATTTTCCACTGATGTAATTTATCGAAGTATTCATCTAGGCAGACGCTCGGTAGATGGCTCAGACATATTTTGACTTCATCATATTCACCCCAACCATCCTGCAGGACGTGTCAAGAATTTGCTTTCATCCCGTTATAAATCATTGTTCAATGCATGTAACATCCTTCCGGAGATACGACGCCCAAGGCTGAACTCAGTATTCTAAGTGCGGTCGTATCACCTCTGATCTGGCATTGCGTGATGCTCTCTGGAGACAGCACACCTCTGTCGCGTCTTATTGGTGGCATGTTTACACTGTGCTGAGGGTTGGAAGTTAAACCACATTGCTAACGATGGCACCCTCGTGACACATGAATGTGATTAGATCAATTTTCAAGTGTTAAGACAGCCAAACTGTAGCTGCAATTTGATCCCTAATTCTACGATTCCATGAAGTTCAGATTACACAGTGCTCGATGCGTGGGCTGGATCATGGCACAATTATATGAAGGTTGGTGACCGCTAGCCTAACCAGAACATCAGTCATGAATACTTCAATAATTCTCACTTTGTTGTTAATAATCCCATGCGTTTTTGGGCGCACCATTCGTCCGGTAAGCTGAAATACTGTCACTTATAAAATCATATCTAGTATCTTTGAGTTTAAAAATGATGAAATATTGTAGGGATTTTATGCGACAAACCAGTACATTATAGTTTATCGTTAAGCTACCACGCACTGAAATAGTATTAGCAGAATGTTTGCATTTAGGTATACTTATGACTGTTAAATACTACACCCTTTCGTATATTAACAGACGCAACAAAACGCACGGAAGCTTTTTGATCAATTCAAGCGCAAGTACAAGAAAGTGTACTCAAATGGCACAGGTAAGTGTTATCGTTGCGCGCATTTTATTAAAATTGCATTTTATTAACAGACGAAGAGAATAGGTTTAGCATATTCCTGCGCAACCTGGCTCTCGCAGCGAAGCTTCAGAAATATGAAAGAGAAACTGCAACATATGGTGTGACCAAATTTTCGGATTTGACAGGTGAGTAAATTGTATGCTTCCTAATCGACACTGTTCACCCACAATCCTCCTCATTCAGAGGAGGAATTTGCCGCTATGTTTATGACCACGCGTTTTGACAAATTTGCTCGGGGGCTGAAGACAACCAAACGAATGAGGCTGGGGCTTCCGAACAAGCGCTTAGACTGGCGTCAGAAGGGAGCAGTGACACCAGTAGAGGATCAAGGAAGGTGCGGCTCATGCTGGGCATTTTCAGTGGTTGGGAACATAGAAAGTCAATACTACTTAAGTGGAAGAAACTTGACGGTGCTTAGCAAGCAGGTAAGTAGCACATACGAAGTTTGCTACCTGCATCCGGATGATTTATGCAGCATTGACACGAAGTGGGCCATCATCGACTCATTCCTCAGTGATTTGGCTAACAAACACGTATTCTTGTCTTACCGCTCTTGTGTTTTTAGCAACTAGTCGATTGTGATCGTTTGGATGATGGTTGTGACGGGGGTTATCCTCCTCAAACCTATTCCGAGGTCATACGATTGGGAGGCCTGGTTTCGGGTGCAGATTACCCCTATGAAGCGAGGAGAGGGTCATGCAGACTGAACAAGTCTCAGATTGTGGCGAATATCAATTTAGCCTTGCTCCTTCCAAGGGACGAAGAATATCAAGCCAAATACCTGGGAGCCCGCGGACCGTTGTCAACGGTGCTGAATGCAAAACCGTTACAAGTGAGCTACGGCACTTTTCTAACTTTGTTTACTTATAGCATACGATCCATTAAAGCTACATTAAAGCCCCTTACGTTCCTCATTTGTATTCACTAGTTAGCAGGAGTTATCACCTGGGGGTTGTTACCCCTTTTGGGTGAGATGAAGATTGGAAGCGGACTTGGTCGTCCAAAGAGACTTTAATGAGGCCTCGAATTGGTCGGTGTATGATGTGTTGCAGTTCAACGCGGATAAATGCCGAGTTCATCACATTCGTCGCTGCCATGCCTACGCATAAAAGCTTGTAGCGCAAGGGCCGCAGACTACCTCTCATGAATCTAACCTTAGTGGGCTCATAGTTAAAGACCTAGGTTGTTGCAAATAACCTGATTCCGCTTCAGAAAGTGACAACCAGCGCTCGAGAGTATAGATTCGTTCATCTCCTCTCTGGTGCTCAATGTGCATTTGTCCTTTTCACATAGAATATGTTTATTTTCTGGCTTGAAACACTTATCTAACGCGCGTTCGAGCTCTCATAAAGCATAACGATGAAGAGGGCCAAGACTTTGCGGCAGCGTCCGTAGCAGGAACATCTAAATAAACGGAGTGTTCTGTGGACCCCGCCAGTAACCACGTGCGGACTTCATAACGGTGTAGCAAATACTGAGCGAGATATGTTATGCACATTGCCACTCTTTGAAACGCAGCCTGAACACTAAGCCGCGAAGTATGGCTTGTCATTAAGCTAACAATACAATCGTCTAGATTGGTGACACACTTACATTTCCCACGTGGTCTGCAAACCCTAGAAAACCCTGCCGACCTCAACTGTTTGTGCCCCACGGTAACCATCTCCGAAAAGCATTTGACTATTGCACTCAGCACACACAAATTGTTACGTAGCTTTACACGTTTGGGATGTAACAATTGATCATTTATTGTTATATTATCGACGAAATGACTATTTATTTGCAATTCATATCCACGCCGGTTTGCAAAAATCGGTTTAGGTGGGTACGCTATCTGATTGTTTTGTAAAAGTAGTATTGGATGCAGCAACTCAATCCCAGTGCCACAAGCTTGCGCTTTTCAGACTTTCCCCGGTAGCTTTGCTTATGAGGGTTATATGTTGGCCACACATACTTTGTCAGTTCTCTCGTTGACCAACCTACGGGACCTGTTATGCGCATACAGTTTTACTGCTTCACAAACCATTTTGTGTTGTTCCACCACTCACAGTTTTATCGAAGTGGAATTTTCAGCCCTCCTTTTCTCCTGTGTTCAAATCGCGATCTGAACCACGCCGTAGTGACCGTTGGCTATGGTCAAGATGGACGATTCCCTTATTGGATAGTGAAAAATAGCTGGGGCACTGATTGGGGCGAAGAGGTGAGCTACTCCACCATTGTTCACCAACCAGATGTGATTGCTAAAATACTCTAGACTATTATAGGCACGCAAGTAAACAAGATTTCATATAATGTTAACAAATCATACCCTATATTCTGAAATGTCGCAACCTATTACTCGATTTTAGTGAGAATGTCATGGTGTTCACATAGCCTCTGTGTGTGTGTGTTTCTTGCGTGTACCCCAACCAAGTTAGTGACACAGTCGAACCGGAGTTGTGCTATACCTCTGCCGATACTCATCGTTTACTGCAACTCCCAATGGCGCTGTGAAAACACTTTGGCATCAAAATGGAAAGTTTATGTGATGATATGTGGCGTTGAAGGTGGAGGAGGTGGTGGTGGTGGTGGTGGTGGTAAAGATGTGAAGAGTAATCCACACACCCAATGATTGTGATTTGCCTCAGCAGGACCTCCACCGCCTCTCCACGTGGTCAACCCGGTCAAGTGGAAATTCATGAGGCTGGGTAAGTGTGAGCACAGTCGAACCTACACAATGGCTGGTCAACCGTTGCATCTCGCACCTTTCGTGCGAGACCCCGGTGTACTCTCACGCTACGACCTAAAGTCCATGGACAACACGAATAGGCTTCACCAAAACAGCCTTCGTATGCTTTGGGCGCTCAGGTGCAGCTTCAGCACTTGGACCGAAGAGATTGCCTCTCATCCCTTCGTCTTGATAATACGGCCAATGCTAGAGTATGGCTTCCCGCGTATTGTCCTCACCCGGGACGAGGTAGAAAAGATTGAGAGAGTACAGCATGTAGCCACCAAGCTGATTCCCAACTTACGATGTGTGCTGTACGAAGACCGGTGTAAGAAACTAGGGCTATACACCCTAGCTCATTGTCGACTGAGGGTTGACCTCGTCATCACGCACCGGATATTCCATCTGGGTGATTACCCTATCCTGAGACAACTGCTTCATCTGCGCACACCAAGCAGCACGCCAGGACACCGGTACAAGCTTGTCGTACTGGATTTGGGGTCGCTCACCAACACTGTTTCGAACTCAGAGTAGTGAATGTCTGGAACGACCTGCCGCAGCACGTAGTTGTGGCAAAGTCGGTGTCGGAAGTTAAGAAGTTCCTTGACAAACACTTTGCCGACGCAAAATATATTGAGTGGAACATAGCATAATGGGTATTTGCCTATGAGTGACGAGTGATGCAGCTACACAGAGCAGACTTTACTTTCTGCTTCTAACCAGTATTCAGTATTCATCATCCTCATGCTCATCATGATCATGATCATGATCATCAGCATCATCATCATGCACCAAAGGGTTCGCAGCAATGGGCAAGGATGAGAAACGGTCAGCGAATGTATCAGACGCGTGATGGATTGCTGCATATAGGTTTTCTTATAGTCACGATCCGCATAATGATTTCAATGCGCTTGTAACACTAACAGTTTCAAACGGCACATTTTTTCAACATAACCTATGTAAATTGAGGTAGATGACGTCTATCATCAGTTCTCTTATACGGTAGGATGCATTCCGTGGTGACAGTACGATGCTTTGGTGGAGAGCAGACGAATTAATGAGGTAGGGCGCCTGATGCGCAAGATTTCCAATTTAGATAGGCAGGAGTGCCGTTGTTGTGCATGTTAAAGGAGTGGGAACCGGTTCCGTTGAAGAAACGTATCTCCCATCCACATGCCTTCCGGTCTTATTCTTTCGGGTTTACACTGGAAATGGGATGTGTGGATGGAGCTGTGGGTGGTGCAGCGCAAACCATCCATGGTCCCTCAGTAGGCCCATGGGGACAGCGCCAGGACAGGCACATCCGGAACCATATGCTGCCCATCATAAAACGCTGCACTACACTTTTTGTCAGTTAATTGCATCCATAACGCTTTCAAACTCAGTCTTAAGGGAATAGTTTTCGTCCATACATCTTTCAGAATCCTCCTTAAGGCAATCAAATATCATCCACCTGTGTTTGCCATGAGAGGTTTTAGTTAACCACGGAATTGTCAGCAACAGCACATAGACAAGCAGCAACCAGTTTTTAATTAAGGGGGATCAATTTCCTTTAAACAACTCCACCGAAACCTTTTCCGTTCATCTCAGCGTAGATCGATGATAATTAGGGTTGACTCATTTTCTTTCGCGTTGGAATTTACTGGACATTTTCGCTTGTATTTTATCTACCAACAGGGTTACTTCCGCATCCGTCGAGGTCGAGGGGTCTGTGGCATCGACAGAATGGTCACGACAGCTGTAATTTAACCCCCACCGGGGATCTGCGCTTTCGAACACTTATGTCGCATCAAATGTGTGCTAAAAATACACTGCCACTGACGCACTTATAGGTGTGAAGCGCTCCACGGCTGTGTTTTTGTTTCATATTGTAATATGGGAGAGAACAGCTTGCACCTACATTTTCCACAAGCAGTGTACTGCAAAATAAAAATCGGCACGAGACTAGTAGAGACCGATCAGGTTTTTGCAACTTTGCTAAATTAAGCCTCACACATACGCATATCTTCACAACCACCATTGGAGCCGCATGCATTCATCAAGCACTTTGTGTCAGGAATTTGTGTTGTGCACTAATTGTGTTCATTGGTTCTGGTTTAGGGAATGTGAAGTCAACTCAGACACGGTATGTTCGATCAAAGATCTCTTTCCCGAGCTCATCGCATTCACGAACATAGTAATCTCCTATGCAGGCTTTGTGTACAATTAACAAGAGCAGCAGTACAGGAATGGGGAAGTCTCTTGTTGACCTCAGGGCAAAGAGAAAATAAACTATCGGTTATTTTGGATTAGGTTCGGAACCCAGTGGGGAGTCATTGTTTCATAAGGCTTTGTGGACGACCGATTAAAGCATTGGTTAGGATTACGATGTTGCTCTCTTGACAAAAAACTCATACAAGCCAGGAATGTTCTGCTCAACCAGATAGAACGGACTAAATAAGAGAGTAAAGATTACAAGAATAAAATTCGATTAAACCTATTTCATTAAAATGAACCAATATTGGAAATCACTACAGGGTAAAGACTTTTTTCGGTAAACTCTCATCAGACCTAAAAGTTTACTTAGCACTTGTTGTGTGTAAAGCCTCAGACCGGGCTAGGATTGAACTCTGGGCTGTTTGAACGATCGAAATCGATAACATGAGACAGGGATATAGATGGTAAGCCAAGTGAAATGAAGAAACATTTGTACACAAACCTCAGTAGTCCGAAGTAAATAGTTAACAGCCAAGTGATTAAGTAACAGTGTCAGTTGGCCACGGTAGTAAGATCCGTCGTATGAATCGTTTTTATACACATAATTCCGGCTTCAGGTAGTGGATGTAGATAGCGTCATTCATTCATTCATTCACGCATTATTCACGTTAGCTGCAGGTGGAAAGCGCCTCAGCTATTGTGCCGCAATACAAAAGACAAGAAGAAAAATACAGTGGCACGCCGGCTGAGTCCCCAGTAACGGATGGACATCGTCCCGGAGAGCTAACAGCCGGCTATCGTACCGCAACAAGTTATGTTATGCCTAACGAATGCGATCATGATTGGAGGGATAGGCTAAGTAGGACGGGGATGGACAAAGGAACTCACAACACAAACAGAACTGGGACCGGTTCCTAGCCATATCAGCAAGTGTGTCCAACCAAACGTGTTCACCGTCCTTAGGACCCCAGCCAGGCAGTCGGGATGCACTAACCGACGCCAACTTCGAAGTGAGGGTTTTCATCTCTCTCGACCAAGGCATCGCTTGGCCTCCTCTCCTCCTCTCCCAACCGCACCCCAGCGCTCAAACAATGCACGTCGCGGGAGTCTATGTGTTGGCATGCGCAACATGTGGCCCAGCCATCGGAGCCTGGTGCGTGATATAATGGTGCTGAGCGGTTCACTCGCTCTACCTGCACCAAATACACGACATCGAACACGCTCGTTGCTCAAGCGGTGCTCCCACCAGACATTAACTAGGCTACGAATGCAGCGATGATCGAATGTGACAAGCCTCATTATGTCTGTCGACCTGATGGGCCAGGTTTCACAACCAAATACGAGAGTTGAACAGACGGATGCATTATAAACTCAGCTCTTCAGGGCGAGAGGAATGTCGCGTCTGCGCCACAGGTGGCGAAAATTGGCAAAAGCACCTCGAGCTTCTGTTATGCAGTTCATAAACTCATCTTCGATCCCACGGGTGCTAATATATCTGCCCAGGTACTTAAATTCCTGAACGACTTCTAGCAGATCACCACCAAGCGTTAGCTCAGGGTTGGGTCCCTGTCAATCTTGGAGAAGTACTTTGCATTTCGATGCAGCAACGCAAAGTCGAAACGATAGACAACCAGTACTAAACGGTCCAGTGTTGCTTGGCATGTTTGGGAGCTGTCGCATATTGGGGCAATATCTTCCGAGTACTCCAAGTCAAGATAGCCTCGGCGATGGAGAAGAGCTGTTTGCGGATACCTTAGGAGAAGCGTTCAGGTAATGGGTACGACTTTGAAGTAGTTTTCGGAAGCTATGTGGCCACAACCAAGGAGGTGTGACATGATTAAGCTGTCTAAGGACGTCATTTCGCCTTTGTAAAACCATGCCGGGATGTGTATTGTATCAAATGGGAATATTTGCTTTGCTACTGATCAACAATGCCCGTGATTCGTTAAAGCACTTTTACTTAACTTTGACTCAAATTTAAGCGAGCTTTTTCTTTCTCTCTCTTCTGTAATCTCCTTCTCGTCATTTTGTAATAGAGGAGCCGTCTAATCAGTAAGCCACAAGTGCAGCGGGTTCTTTTCCCTGGGAATGGAAACTGTATTGCAGATCGCTCTGAAAGAACGAAAGGCAGAACAAGAAATTCTCGCTTTATGATTGGATGTTCATCAATTCTTGACAATTTTAATTGGAAAGAGTATGGTCCTTAAGTCTGATTTGGACATAGCAGCGCTTTAGCGAATGCGTGGTTACCATATGCGCGTCTAGGCATGCAAACTCTGTTTGCGACAAAGACTGGAAATTAAATCAGTCGGATATGATTTGTTCTACGATGTAAATATCGGAGCTCGTATCGTATTCTACAACCATCTCATCGGTCGATGAACGAATACTTCCATATGTTTCCCCACACTCGATGAGACATCGCAGCCGCAAAGTACATCGGAACAATGAAATTATCACGGATACAAAACAATACACCTGGTAGTTTTCGTAAGTAAGCTGTGAGACCAAGACTGAATATATCAAGTACAAACACCGCGTAGCGTTTGAATTACCGCACATTTTACATAAACTCATAGTTCGTTACCTCCTCCCATGCCCAGAATAATTGGGTTAAATCATTCAGTGAAAGTGCTATAAGGCATCGTCAACTCGAGTTTCGAACTCCAATAACCTAGGAAAGGTGATGATCGAATGCGGGTGTAAGTTTCAAAATTGGGATAAACGAATGAAGAAAATGCTACGATGGTGTTTCTACCGGCTCTGTTGTGAACCATGAGCAATGATTTATGATGGGTAAAAAAGCAGGTGCTTGACATGTCCCGTAGGGTGCTTAGAATGAGCAAAGCTAGATCAAGGGATAATGGATTCCTCGGTTCTGGTGATTACAGATTTAACTGCATTGCGGTATACAGGGAGTTTGAACTTAGAATGTGCGCACACAAAGCAATAAGGGGAGTGATTACAGATCACGTACTGAGCGAGAGAAAAAAAAACAAAAAATAGCAAGGACAGTGCTTACTTGTGTGCAACCATATCGGGTCGACGGGATACCGAAATCCAGTTTCCACAGTAGTAATGCAAGGGGTTTGGTACAACTCATTCTCGAGTAGGCTTATGGTACTGTCCACTGTCTGTTGTGAATTAGTGTCAGCATCTGGTGGTCATGGGCTATAGCACGTAGTGTAAATGTGACAGACTATCGTCAAGGCGTTTTTTGAAAAGAGAGGGTGGGAGCATTAATTACATGTTTCGGGAGGGCGTTCCAAGGCTGTGACACTCGAAGGGAGAAAAAGTTTTGCTGACATTCCAGTCGGCTGTACTGCGTGACCGGCATAAACTGATGACCTCTTAGTGGGATGTTTTGACTGAGTATCAGAAGAGAATGGCACGGGTGATTGGGCTTTCTCAGAATCTGGTACATTATTATGAGGTCGCCCCTTAGACGCCGATAACGTCCACTGTATTGTGTAGCTGAGTTCAAACAGTGGCCTCTCAGTTAGCACTTCTGGCTGAGATTCAAGAAGGGTCGGTATGGGTGCTTAGGATCTTTGAGGATCTGACACACCAGTATGAGATCACATCGCAGAAGGCGACATAGTTAACCTAAAATTCCAGAGTCTTTAGTCTCACATGGTAACTGATATGGCGCAATCCCTTAACATCCTTTGTCGCCTTCGGTTGTGGCTTCTCAAAAGCAGTGAGGCTATGTTTGGCTGACTATTCTGCATGTCACCTCACGTAAGCAGTTAACATTTGCAAGAAAAGTGGAATCAAACCGGCCTATCGTTTCCCGCATTAGACCTAATTGTTGGCTGGGTTTTTTCTCACCGCTTTCTGAAAAAACTTTCTTGCACATCCAAGATCATCCTGCAACAGCACCCCAAGATCATTTTCAACAGAAGCGCGCTGCAAGACGTGTTAGAAGATTAGGTACACCACAGAATAATCAAGATAAGAATAAATAGATAGACGGTATATCCCTCCATGGTACGAGGCACAGTCCAACCGAGTGGTCTGATCATTTTGTACACCGAGCTCAAATAAAACAGGTAATTCCGCACCTTTTATACAATGGATCCCAGGTGGGTTTTGTATTGATTGGCAGCTTGATGGTATTACAGTGATTAGGAATTGGGAACCATATCAGATGAAAACTTAATCAAAATTCAAATAAATTAATACAGTCATCCATGGAACCGTCTCCATGGGGTCTGCTTTTTTGCAAGGTATTCCATTGATATGTTTCACCCGCACTTCCATGCCCTAACTGGCTGTGTGCCGGTTTGGCGAAAGAGCAAATAAGCCACCACCTGTTTAACCAATTTTTATGAGTGCTGTATTTTGCATACACTATGAGCAATGAAGTAGCAGCCCGTTCCGTCACGTGAATCCTTCATGTATGACCCTTTTTCGTTATTCGAAAGTGAGTCAGTGGCGGTATGCTTTGCATGGAGGCTGTAATCCGTCAACACTGCAGATCAGCCCACCTGTGTCCAACAATAAATTAAGAAAGAATACAAAGTATGATAGTTGTTACAAACTGTTTCCCATAGGCCAATCAAATTTGATGGAAAATTTTGACGAATAGCGAGGATGTTACATAGAGTTCAGCTTGAAAGGTATAAT